GTTTGGAATGGTTAAATGATTCCGAGAGATGGAGTGACGGGGAACAGGAAGTGGAGGAGGAGAGGAGGAGGAGGTAGGGGTGGACGAGGAACAGGAAGTGGAGGAGGGGAGAAGGAGGAGGAGGGGGTTGAGGTGGAGGTAGAGGAGGAACAGGAAATGGAGAGAAGGAGGAGGGTTTGGAGGTGGAGGTAGGGGTAGAGGAGGAACAGGAAATAGAGGGAGAGAGACGGAGGAGGAGGGGGTTGGGGTTGAGGAGGAACAGGAAGTGCAGGGAAGGAGAGAAGGAGGAGGAGGGGTTGAGGAATTAGAGGAGGGAAGGAGAATGAGGTGGTTGAAGTGAAGGTGGAAATAGAGGAGTAGCAGAAAGTAGTGGAAGGAAAGAGGATGAAGTTGTTGAGATGGAAAAGAAAGAGCAGGTGGAATAGGGAACAGATATGTAGTGGTTGAAGAGCAAGTGGAGAAGGAGAAGAGGATAAAACGGGAAAGGTGGATGAGAAAATGGAAGTGGAGGAGGGAAGGAGGATGACTTGGAAGAGCAAGGCGGAAAAGTGGTTAAAGGGGAGGACGAGAATGAACAGGAATTGCGGAAGAGAGGGAGGAAATGATAGAGTGAAAAAATAAATTGGTGGAGGAAGTATTTGGCAGAAAAAGGGATAGTAAACAAGCAATTCAGAGAAATTACGAAAAGAAAAGACAAACAGTAAGAGAATAAGAAATATTAATCGCAATAGAAAAAAAAGCGAAAATACTTCCAAAGAAAAAAAGGAAAAAGAAAAAGAAATACTAAACGCAATAGAATAAAAAAAGAAAATACTCCCAAATAAAAACAGGAAAAGAAAAGAAAACAATAAACAAACAATACTTTTATCGAATGGTCGTCTGGGCAGAACTGTTGCATAAATGACTCGATTCGTCAAGTCACATTCTTCGAAGGGGATTATCCGATTGCGTAAGGCGTGGCTCACATTTCTTGAGATTTTGTCAAGCTTGTGTGTGTTTTTAGGGGATTTATATATGTGTGTGCGTATGTGTATGTGTGTCTGTGTTTGTGTGCGTGTATGTGTGTTTGTGTGCGTGTGTGTGTGTTTGTGTGCGTGTGTGTGCGTGTGCGTGTGCGTGTGTGTGTGTGTGTGTGTGTGTGTGTGTGTGTGTATGTGTGTGCGTGTGTGTGTGAGTATGTGTGTGTGTGAGTATGTGTGTGTGCGTGTGTGCGCGTGCGTGTTTGTGTGTGTGTGTGTCTTTGTGTGTGTATTTTTTTTCGTTTTATCCTTTCTTTGGTGGGGCAGGGTAAGGACGAGCATGATGTAGAAGAGGGAGAAAAGGAAGGAGAAGGAGAAGGCGAAGGGAAGGAGGAATAACAGTGAACGAGTAAGAGAAGGAAGAAGGGTGGACGAGGATGAGGAAGGAAGGGAAAAATGCTGGTAAAGGTGATGTTGATTTAAGCCAGAAGGAATTGGATACACACACACACACACACACACACACACACACACACACACACACACACACACACACACACACACACACACACACACACACACACACACACACACAAAAGGGTGAGGAGAGCGAGAGAGAGAGCGAGAGAGAGCGAGAGAGAGCGAGAGCGAGAGAGAGCGAGAGCGAGAGAGCGAGAGCAGAGCGAGAGCGAGAGAGAGCGAGAGCGAGAGCGAGAGAGAGAGAGAGAGCGAGAGCGAGAGAGAGAGCGAGAGAGAGAGAGAGCGAGAGAGAGAGAGAGCGAGAGAGAGAGAGCGAGAGAGAGAGAGAGAGCGAGAGCGAGAGGCGAGAGAGAGCGAGAGCGAGAGAGAGCGAGAGCGAGAGCGAGAGAGAGCGAGAGCGAGAGAGAGCGAGAGCGAGAGCGAGAGAGAGAGAGAGCGAGAGAGAGAGAGAGAGAGAGAGAGAGAGAGCGAGAGAGAGCGAGAGCGAGAGAGAGAGCGAGAGAGAGAGAGAGAGAGAGCGAGAGAGAGAAGAGAGAGAGAGAGAGAGAGAGAGCGAGAGAGAGAAGAGAGAGAGAGGAGAGAGAGAGCGAGAGAGAGAGAGAGAGAGAGAGCGAGAGAGCGAGAAGAGAGAGCGAGAAGAGAGAGCGAGAGAGAGAGCGAGAGAGAGAGCGAGAGAGAGAGCGAGAGAGAGAGGCGAGCGAGAGAGGAGCGAGAGAGCGAGAGAGAGAGAGAGAGAGAGAGAGAGAGAGAGAGAGAGACGAGAGAGAGCAGAGAGAGAGCGAGAGAGAGAGAGAGGAGAGAGAGCGAGAGAGAAGCGAGAGAGAGAGAGAGCGAGAGAGAGAGCGAGAGAGAGAGAGAGCGAGAGAGAGAGCAGAGAGAGAGAGAGAGAGAGAGAGAGAGAGAGAGAGAGAGAGAGAGAGAGAGAGAGAGAGAGAGAGAGAGAGAGAGAGAGAGAGAGAGAGAGAGAGAGAGACCCTCCCCCCTCCCCAGCGCACCGCACACACCAAAGACCGACTATATCAAATAACGCCCCTAAACGCACCAAAACGAAGCTGTTGCAAGATCCGCGCAACCCGACACCTCCCTGCTCCCAACCCCCGCCTTTTGACTAAGGCTTCTGCTCCCCCTCCCTTCCCTTCACCTCCCCTCCTCCTCCTCCCCCTATATATCCTCCCCTCTCCAACCCCTCTCTCGTGTACTGCCTCGTCTTTTCCTCCCTTCCCCTCACCTCCAAGTCCTCCCTCCTCCCTCTCCCCCCACATATCACCATCATTTCCCTTCCACCTCCTCCCCACCCTTTTTCTGTCCCTTACCTCCCACCCTCTCCCCATCCCCTGCCTTCTATCCCCTCCCTATCCCCCACGTTCCACCCCTTCCACGACCTTCCCTACATAGTATACTCTCACCCCCATCCCATCCTTTTATGTACGCCCTTCCCCCCATCACCCCCTCCACGCTCCATTTAAGGTCATCGGCAGCCTTCTAAAGGCCTCAAGTAATATCTCCTTTTGTCAGAACGACCGTACTGTACATTTTTTCTTTTTTCTTTTTTGGTTATGCGGGTTTTATTTTTTGTTGTATTTCTGTTTTTTTTTTATTTTTTATTAGTAATTAGTGTCTTTTTTATCTTTTATTTCATTTTTGTCGCGTGGTTCGGGGATAGAAGAAGGTAAAACGTTTTCTTGAAAAGGTCAAAGTGGAACGCATCCAGGGAAATAAAAACAGTGGTATTGAGGAAATTAAGAAGGATGCAGGGAAAGTATGAAAACAAGTTTATCAGAGTTACAAAAAGGAGGGAGTAAATAGGTCAAGAAAATGAAAATAACAGGGGGAGGGAAGGGGTGAAAAAGAAAATGAACGGGGAGAAAACTGGAGGAAGTCAAAGTCAAGAAAAAAGAGAATGAACAAGAACAAGAGAAATTCATACACACGAAATGAAGTTATGAAACTGTCGAGGAAAAAAAAGAGAATAAAAGATTAGAAAATGACCCGAGGATAAAAAAAAGAAAAAAAATAAGAGTTGATATTGTTAAGCGAAGACTCGGGGTCAGAGGAAAGCTAATATCAAAGAATTGAAAAGGAGAAGAGTAGAGTGAAGATTCTCCTTTTTTTTCTTTTTAATATTTGGATAAGAATTTCAAATCGGGTTCTTCAAAGGAACAGCAGAGAGGGCTTAGGGAAGAGTCTTCTAAAGAATTTCAATACTCCGAGCGATTAGTACATAAAAGAGAATCTCGTAAAAAAGGAAAATAAAAAAAATATGTGGGGGAGAGGGATAGGGAGAGGCAGAGGGAGAATGAGAGGGAGAGAGATGGATGGAAGGGGGTAGAAGGAGGAGAAGAGGGGAAGAGGAGAGGAAGAGGGGGTAGAAATGGGGGTAGACAAGAGGAAGAGGGCGTAGGAGGAGGGGGAGAGGAATAGAAGGAGGGGGAGAAGGCTAGAGTAGAGGAAGAGGGGGTAGAAATAAGGGTAGAGGAGAGGAAGAGGGGGTAGGAAGGGGAGAGGGGTAGAAGGAGGAGGAGAAGGGTACAGGAGAGAAAGAGGGGTTAGAAGGATGGGGAGAGGGCTAGAGCAGAGGAAGAGGGGGTAGTTGGAGGGGGAAAAGGGTTGGAAGATGTAGAGGGGGTAGGAGGGGAGAGGGGTGGATGGAGGGGAAGAAGCAGACGGGATCGTGTCTGAGGGAAGGTAAGGGGAAGGGGACAGGTACAGGGGGTAGTGAGTAAGGGGATTAATAGATAGAAGAGGGTGAAGAGGGAGAATGAGAGGGGGAAGGGAAGGGGATAGAAAGTAAAAGCAGAAAGTAGGGAGATGAGGGTCGTGGGAAGGGGGGGGGGGCCAGATAGGGTAGTGAATTGGGGGTAGTTGGGAATCAGATGAGGTCGGATAGAGTGGGAGGAGGGGAGGGGAGAGTAGCAGGCAGAGGGAGAGCCAGATGGGTATGGGGTGGGGGCCAGAGGGGGGGAGGGCGTAGGAGGAGATGAGGAGGTAAACGAAAAATAGATTACCGGAGCATGTTCTTGAGATTTTTATTACCTGGAGTTTTACCTTTTTTAAAGGAGAAAACGGAATGAAGTGGAATTTTGCATTAGATACTCTTTTTTTTTTATAAGATTATATGTTTTTGTTATTTAGGAGTTGATATAGTCATTATTTATCCAGATAGGAAGAATATATAAGTCTCAAGAGATAGGATAAACTGGATAGGAAGAAATGGAAACGAGAGACTGACAGCCAGCCAGACAGACAGACAGACAGACAGACAGACAGACAGACAGACAGACAGACAGACAGACAGAAAGATTGACAAACAGACGGAAAAAAAGCAATAAAAGTTTGCGAAATGTTTTCCATCTCTCCCTCTCCCTGCATCCCTCCCCTTCCCCCCTCCCCCCATTTTTAAAATAGCGGCGGGAGGGAGTTCCCATTCAATTAGTTTATGCAAATTTTCCGCGGGAATTGTAAATACCTGTTGAGAATTATGAATAAATGTAGGGGAGCGCTGTTATTGTTAATTGATGGACTTATTATGGGTTTGATTCGTGTTGTCAGAGGAACTCGCCGTTAAGTGACTCGTCGGGCCGCGTCCCCCGAATCTGCATGCTTTATGGGCGCTTGCATTTTTGGGCGGGAAGCACGGACGCGCGGGCACGGCTGCAGGGGGATGGACTGGGAGGTACGGACGCAGGGGCACGGCTGCAGGGGCATAGACTGAGAGGTACGGACGCAGGGGCACGGCTGCAGGGGCATGGAACTGAGAGGTACGGGACGCAGGGGCACGGCGATGAACTGGGAGGTACGGACGCAGGGGCACGGCTGCGACTGGAGAGTGACGCAGGGGGATGGACTGGGAGGTACGGACGCAGGGGGATGGACTGGGAGGTACGACGCAGGGGCACGGCTGCAGGGGGATGGACTGGAGGTACGGACGCAGGGGGATGGACTGGGAGGTACGGACGCAGGGGGATGGACTGGGAGGTACGGACGCAGGGGCACGACTGAAGGGGGATGGACTGAGAGGTACGGACGCAGGGGCACGGCTGCAGGGGGATGGACTGAGAGTGGACAGGGGATGGACTGGGAGGTACGGACGCAGGGGGATGGGAACTGGGAGGTACGGACGCAGGGGCACGACTGCAGGGGGATGGACTGAGAGGTACGGACGCAGGGGGATGGACTGGGAGGTACGGACGCAGGGGCACGACTGCAAGGGGATGGACTGAGAGGTACGGACGCAGGGGGATGGACTGGGAGGTACGGACGCAGGGGCACGACTGCAGGGGGATGGACTGAGAGGTACGGACGCAGGGGGATGGACTGGGAGGTACGGACGCAGGGCACGACTGCAGGGGGATGGACTGAGAGGCACGGACGCAGGGGCACGGCTGCAGGGGGATGGACTGGGAGTTACGGACCCAGGGGCATGGACGGAGGCACGTACGAGGGGACACCCGTACACGTATACATGTATGTATGCATGTATACATATCCGTATAAAAGTAAGTATATGTATGTATGTATGTATGTATGCAAGTGAGAGAGAGAGAGAGAGAGAGAGAGAGAGAGAGAGAGAGAGAGAGAGAGAGAGAGAGAGAGAGAGAGAGAGAGAGAGAGAGAGAGAGAGAGAGACCGAGCCGGAGCGAACGGGATCCGGCAAAATAAAATGAGAGAGGCGGGATCGCTTCGGAGTGTTGTTTTCCGGCAACTGGGAATAGATTCAATCCCTCCATTTTTTACGCAGGTTAGATTAATGGTATTTCAAAACAATATGACGAGGTTTGGATTTTTTCGCTGGTCTTCGTATATGTTTGCGAATATCTTCCTGTTTTTTTTTCAGGTTACGTGCGTGTATGTGGGTGTATATATCTTGTGTGGATGTGTGTACCTGTGAGTGTATAGGTGAGATTTTATATGCGTGGGTATAGTTCTCCTTCTCCCCACCTCTCCTCTCCCACTCACTCCTCTCTCTCTCTCTCTCTCTCTCTCTCTCTCTCTCTCTCTCTCTCTCCCAACCGGTGTCTCTCTCTCTCAATTCTCTTCTATCCTCACAGTCGTCGTTACTCTACCCAGGCCTACTGACTGGGCCGTTTAGAAGGGTGCGGAAGGACCGAGCAACGCCATGTGCACCCTTTCCTTCCCAGGACTCAAGGGGCCTGCCGCTCGTCGTCGAACCGTCTCGTACCGACAACGTACATGACACTCCGGTCAATTGGCTCGTGCCACTCCAACGTCATCGAACACCGTCTAGTCCGTGCTCGCCAAAGGACAAAGACTCATGAAAGAGCTATAAATGTTTAACCACTTACGGCGTCCTAACGTCGTGCGCCAACTGGAGGGCATCTCGTCTCCCCGCGAATTATCGTGCTCGGTCAGAATCATTCTTCTCTCTTCTGCTCTCCGTTCTCTCTTCTCTTCTCGCAAGTCCATCATCATTCATTCAACCTCATCATATCTCATCAATACATCGCGACGATAATAATTCCTCACTTCTCTTCCTCTCTCATCTTAATTCCATCGTCCTTGTCCTTCTCTCAGTCTCTCATCCATAACTCTTCTCTAATCTCCGTCCTCTCTCTCCTCGCTTCACATCTCTCATTCAAAAAAAAATATTTCCATCTCAATTGTTCTAACTCATAATCTTCTTATCGCTAAATGTAATTACCTCCTTCTCACTCTTCCCTATTACGTAGTCTATAATACTATTATCGCCTCCGTATCAATTCAACAAACTACTTAATTCGCAATTTCCATCTGTGAATCCCTAACCTTCAACTGTTGCTTCTGCTTCTCTCTTAATGGCCGCCTACCTATCTCATCTCCACACCTTCTCATCCTCCATAACTCTCACTCGTATCTCACTCGATCAATTCTGGCTCTGCTTCGTCCTCCTCTCATCTTATTATAGAAATCAAAATCAACTCTTCTCTCCAGCTCATCTCTCTCCACCCCTCTCTACTCTCAAGAAAATCATCCCTCTACTCTCTCTCTGTCTCTCTCTCAAAATAAATGTTTCTCAGTCTCATTCCTGATCTCTCCTCTCTCATCCACTTCTCCCTCTCTTCTCTTCTCTTCTCTCTGCTCTCTCCATTCTCTCTCTTCTCTCCTCGCCTATCTTTAATCAATCTCTCTCTCTCTCTCTCTCTCTCTTCTATTCTATCTCTCTCTCATCTTTCTCCATTCTCTCTATTCATTCTTCACGGCACCACGTTATATCACTCAATTCACAATTTGTTTGGGTAGCTTCCACGTTTTTGTGTAGCCGCTCATTTTACCTAATTATTTATTATATTTGCTATATTAGTTTTGTTATGTATTATAATATTCATTTTTGGGAGGCTAATATCACAATCACGTCACTTAATCAACTTCCCGACCCAGCTTCAATCACCATCACACAACTGATATGTTTTATTCTCACCTCATCTCTCTCTTCTCTCCTCTCTCTCTCATCTCTCTCTCCTCTCATACCTCAATATATTTAGTGAACACTCTCACATCTCAATTCACTCATACCTCTCCTCCTCTCATTCCGATTCTCATAACTACTTCTCTCTCTCTCACTATCTCTGACATTGAACTTCCTCACTCCACTCATTCACTCACTCACTCACTTACTCAACATCACTACTTTCACTCACATAACTCACGTCACTCACATCACTCACTCTCTTACTCTCATCTCTTCTCTCAATCTCGTCTCTCTCTCTCTCTCTCTCTCTCTCTCTCTCTCTCTCTCTCTCTCCTCTCTCCTCTCTCTCCCTCATCTCTTCTCTCGGTGTGTGATAAGCATTGCCAATGTGCGTATGCGTGCGGTGTGATGTGTGTGTTGTGGTGTGTGTGTGGTGTGTGTGTGGTGTGTGTGTGTGTGTGTGGTGTGTGTGGTTGCGTGTGTGTGTGTGTTGTGTGTGTGTAATTTTGTGTAATGCCTATCCGTTGGACCCGAAATAACAAGATTTTGTTTTCGGATTCCTCATAGCGAAACCAAACTTTGTAAAAACCTGTCTGTAAAACAAAAAGCTAAAAAATCCTCCGACGTCAAAAATGAAGATATAGTAGGAGAGAGGAGAGAGAGAAGAGAGAGAGGAGAGAAAGAGAGAGAGAGAAGAGAGAGACGAGGAGAAGACAAGAGAGAACAAAGAGAGACAGAGAGACGAGGCGCGCGAGAGGATGGGGATGGGGAGGGAGGAGAGGGAGGGGAGAGGGAGAGGAGAGAAGAGAAAAGAAACATGTGACGGGGCATCTCTATTCCCTAGCACCGTCACGCCTAACTCTCTTCCCCTTTGTAAACTCCACACTTAAACCAACTTCGTATAACCTAACCCGTGGCACAGGCGGGTGCGATATTTGGCCTAGACGTAGCACTGGCACCCTCTCCCCTTCGTCCCTCTCATTATGGACTTTGGAAGGGGAAAGGGAGAGGAAGGAGGGAGGGAAAGAAGGAGGAGGGTTGGAAGGAGGAGGGGAGAAAGGGAAGGAGTGGAAAGAGGGTGAGAAAATTTGAAATTGAGAAAGAAATTTCAAAAGAAAGAGAAGATCAAGAGAGAGAGAGAGAGAGAGAGAGAGAGAGAGAGAGAGAGAGAGAGAGAGAGAGAGAGAGAGAGAGAGAGAGAGAGAGAGAGAGAAGAGAGGGGAGAGGAGGGGGGGGGGCAGTAGGAGAAAAGGGAGAGGGGAGGGAGGGAAGGGGGAAGGGCGACTACCACGACCTTTTGCACCGGTCACAATCAGTCATCGATGATTGGAAGAAGAGGGGGTGATGGAGCGATGGAGCGATAGAACAAGAGAGGAAAGGTGGCGAGGAAAAAATGAGAGAGAAAACGGAAGGAAAAGGAGAAAGAAAAGAAATTCATACAGTACGGAAATGTAATGAACTGACAGAAAAGGGAGGAGTCTTGCATAAAAAGAGTATACGTTCGAAAATGAATTCACATTTGTATTTTCAAATTATATATATATGATGTATATATATATATATATATATATATATATATATATATATATATATATATATATATTATATATATATACGTGCGTGTGTGTGTGTGTGTGTGTGTGTGTGTGTGTGTGTGTGTGTGTGTGTGTGTGTGTGTGTGTGTGTGTGTGTGTGTGTGTGTGTGTGTGTACACATATATTTTTTTTTCTTTTTTCTTTTTCTTTTTTCCTACATGTATTTTTTTTTTTTTTTTTACCCTTTATACCTCCCTCTTACTTCCTCTGTTTATCTCATTCGCACTCTCTCTCAGTCTCTCTCTCTCTCTCCCCCCCCCCCCCCCCCTCATCTCTCTTTCACTCTCCCCCTTCTAACCATCTCAGTGTCTTTGTCCCTGCTCCTTCTCCTTTTCTCTCTTCCTTCTCCTTCTCCTTGGCTTAGGAACCCCGAACCCTCAATTTTCGTCCGCCATCTGTATTGCCTTCCCCTCTCCCTCGCTTCCCCTCGGATTAAAAGCCTTCTGGGAACCTCCTCCAAAGCTGACATCGGCACTGTATTGCCCCCACGTCTCCCCCCCCCCTCCCCCCTCGTCTCTTTTGGCCCATAATAACTCTTCTCTTTTGGCCATAGGTTCGGGGAAGTCACACTAACTGAGGTCTTTCTTTAGGTCTCGCCCCCTCTCCCTCTTTTTTTCTTGGCGCCTCTTTCTAGTACTTTCTCATTCTCCCCTCTCTCTCTCTTTCTGTTTCTCTGTCTCTGTATCCTCTCTCTCTCTATCTCTCTTTTTCTCTCTTTCTTCCCCCCCCTTCCCTCCCTCCCTCCCTCTCCCGTATTCCTTTCTTCCTTTCCTCCGTTCTCTCGTTCTCCCCTCTCCTCATATTCCTCTCCGTCCTTCCCTCCTTTCTCTCGTCCCCCCCTCTTTCTCCTCATTTCTCCCCTTCCTCCTCTCGTTCGCCCTCCTCCTCCTCTTCTCATTTCTCCCCTCCGCCCCTGCCATTTAATCCCTATTTACCCTCACTCCTTTGCCGACGCTCATAATCCCCCCACTTCCCAGTCACTCACGCCCCGCCGGTAACCTCCTTTTTCCCCTTACTCCGCCCTCCTACCTCTGCCCAAGGCGGGGGTTTTATTCTTCTTTATTTATTTCTCTTGGTGTCCGTTTTTTTTCCGTTTTTCTGTTCGTGTTTTTTTTTTTGTGTATGTTCTGTTCTTCTTTTGTGTGTTCTATTTTTCTATTTTGTGTTCTCTCTCTCTCTCTCTCTCTCTCTCTCTTCTCTCCTTCTCTCTCTCTCTCTCTCTCTCTCATCTCTCTCTCTCTCTCTCTCTCTCTCTCTCTCTCTCTCTCTCTCTCTCCTAACTTAAAATGTATTTAGGTTATCTGTGAGGAGAGAAGATTTGAAAATTGTAGAGGGAAGCGAAAGGAGCGACTCTTTGGGTACGAATAAAAAGGGAAATATA